GTTGCATCTGAAATGTCATAGGCACATCTTCACATTTTGTACCATCTTCGTCCATCACAGGGAAGTACAGGGCAAACTCAAGTGCTTCGAGGTGAACGGAGAGCCATTTGTTCACGATGTTATGGGCCTGTCCCCTTCCATACGCATTCATATGAAGAATAGCAAAGGCACCAGCATGACATTAGAGACCATTTACGGACACGCGCGCAAGTATGGTCATATCCGCAATATCGAGCCGCATACCCCTTACACAGATAAGGTGTACGTCACGTATCACCGGTCCATAGACGCTGCTGCAGGTGTGTGTTGTGCGTGTAGGTTGGTGACTTGCTTGCACTGGTTTTCTGCGATGTGTGCTTGTGCTGAGTTGTGCATGTGTGCTTGTGCTGAGTTGTGCATGTGTTTTTGTTGAGCCGACGTAATGCCAGGGGTGTTCAGTGGTGTTCTGATCCTGCAGTCTGTTAGGTCTATTGTCACTGCTGCAGGTGTGTGTTGTGTGTGTAGGTTGGTGATTTGCTTGCTCTGGTCATCTGCGATGTGTGCTTGTGCTGAGTTGTGCATGTATATTTGTTGAGTATCTGTCGGGTCTATAGATACTGCTGCAGATGTGTGTCACGTGGTCAGGTAGGGCATTCTCGCTCTATTTTCCTGCGATATGTGGGTTGTGTACGTTTCTTCCTTTTGTGCGGTATCCGTGTCTGTCTATCACGTACCCATATTGTGATGTTAGATAATCATACCAATTTAGCATTGCCCGTATATTGTTATGTATATATCAAGTTTGTTGACGTCGCTGAAGGTTTGCGATGTTATCGCAGTAAAGCTCTGGGGTGCTACAAGTATTTCCGAGACCATTTGCGCCTAGTGGACACAGTATCATTCAGTGGAAGGTCTGTATGCCATACAACCACAGCTTGTGTTGCCAATCCCAGTCAGATAAAATCTGGGCCAGGCAGCGATTCCTCAATCAGCTTGGACAGAGTACATCGAGCAGCCGCCAATCCACTAACACCAACCACTATAACTATTGCACAAACCTATCACGTTCACTAGCACGACAACCCAATACTAATAACTGCGACCACGGGACAATGGGACTCTATTTGCAGCGATGAAGTGCATGGACCATATCAACCACCATAACTACTACGTCACGTTCACTAGCACGACAACCCAATACTAATAACTTCAACCACGGGACAATGGGTCCCTATTTGCAGCGATGAAGTGCATGAACAGGATCCCCATACAGAGCATCGTACCGGAGGCGAACGGACAACTGCCCACACTCTGCATGGTATACGAACCTCCAATCAGATTCAATGTGTGGAACTTTGTCATGAATCATACCAAGTTGGTGGTGCCTGCGGTCATTGCGGTGACTGGGTTTCTGAGCTACACACTGTTTGAGCCCATACGCGTGTGGTTTGTGGAGCAGAATATACGATACTTCACTAAGCTGCGCAAGACGTACGCAAAGGGCATGAACATGCTGGGCAATACCACAACGCAGCTCACACAGTACTTTGGCTATCGGTAGGTGGTGTATGTGTATGTGTGTGTGTGTGTGTGTGCGTGTGCTTGGAATGTAGAGTTGTATCTCGAATTTACATACAAAGCCCATCAGGGAATATATATCTGTGTGTAGACGTCCATACAATACCCCACACTTGCAGAAGCCATCAGTCACACTGGTGATAGACTTACAATTATATTCATAACTAATATGGACTATCGCCTGATGTGATTGTGTGGTGGCGAGGATGCAATTACCGTATGCTCAGATTTGTTGTAAAGCAGGAGCTATATGTAGATAAGCCGACAGTTGCACATTGCCTTGTGCTTACCCAGAGATTTACTATAGTTCAAATCCATACTCGCAGTTAGTGTAAACGACTACCTATAACCACCAATTTACCTACCAGGGGCGTGTCTGGAGACGAGGACAAAGGTGGTGTATCTGAGCAGAAGCTCCGTCTCGCTGAGGCTATCGGCAGCATAGCCGAGGAGCTCACAGAACGGGTCAATGAGTCCTTTATTGAGGATTCAGGTGCACTGGTGGTGATTGCAGGGCCGCCTGGAAGCGGAAAGTCCTTTGTGGCCCACCATCTGATTGAGAATGCGTCGCACATGCTGTTCATCGACTTCAGCGATCACACGGTACGAGGGCAGCCCAATAGCTCATACATCGAGAGCAAGCTGATCCGAAGCACAGGTGAGGATACGCTGTATTCGAAGTTTAGTAGCTGTTGTGTAAGCTGATACGGGTGTTGTTTTTGACATGGTGTAGATGTTGTATATGATTTGTGATGGCTGTTATATAGTTGTGGATGTGTCAGCCGGCGCGACGCCAGGTGTGGGGGGAAGTGCGTGATCTGTACACCCAGTAGCAGACGCATATATACAGAGGTACACAATATCAATCCATGTGTGCGCACACGGTTTGAATCTGGCACGTGTATTACTTTGCATAGATGCTGCCTATAGTATTACTTTACTCAATAAATGCTCATATGTACACCCTATTTTGTACAACAATTACCCATGGATGGAGGATGCACACCCCAGTCCAATGCGCGCTCTGTGAGTTTGTCATCGGCGGTACACACACGCACATGCATAGTTATATAAGAAAAAGAGATAAAGCGTTCATAACTTCTCAACGTCCAAAATGTTTGTGCTACCCGCACATAACACCCACAAAAAGGAATATATATATATTTATATATATATATATATATGTGTGTGTGTGTAATATATATACATATATATATATTCACATTCACACACTTTCTTACCATCGTATACACATCCATTCATCTCTGAATATAGGCTACTTCCCGTCCGTGCTGTGGATGAACCGTCTAGTGAAGCTGAGTGAAGGCATTGCCACTGCCACCATGGGCATCAAGACAGAGGGCCTCAGCAGCACATCTCTAGACAGCACTCGGTCTATCCTCAACACACTAACCAACGCACTTGTCAAGTTCAGGGCCGCTCACCCCCAAACCGACGACGAGTTGTTGGAGATGGCAGTAGAAGAGACAGATACCGGTGAGGGTGAGCAAGAGGGTATGGCTGGAGCCACGGAAAGTGTGCTGGGTGATGAGAAGGCCGACAAGGAGAAAGGGGTGTTGGACACTGTATTGAGTCGCTTCAGAGCGTACGAGGAAATAGGTAAAGTTGAGAAGCCAGCGGACGGGGTACTGGAGACGGTAGCAGGCTATACCCACACAGTCACTGATCCTATCGTTACTCTAGCCGCCCCGATTACCAATCTGGTGAGCGGATCCAATTCTGCGAAGGAGGAGACGAACAAGGACGAGATGGCCCAAAAAAGGGCTGCCCCAAAACCAAAAGTGAAGGGCGTTCCCACAGGCGTGGTGATTGTGATTGAGGGTCTGGATAGGAACTTGACAGATAAGTTCCCGTGGTTGATGGATGTGTTGTTTGAGTGGGTGTCACAGATGAATTTACAACACGCGGATTGCGCGCGCGTTGTCATGGTAACGAGCGACTCGCAACTGGCCGAAGACGCGGCCAATGCTATGGCAACGCCGGTCCACTTGGTACCCATGCGCGACTTGCCGGTGGATCAAGCTGCAGAGTTGTTAAGCAGCCTTAGTACCAGGGATGTTTCAAAGGACAAGCTCAAACGGGCCATAGGGACCATTGGGGGACGGTTTAATGATATTCAACTCCTGAGTAAGCGTATCAATGTGGGGATGGACGTGGAGAGTGCAACAGTCATGATGGTGGAGGAGGCCGTCGACTTCCTGCGCAACCACGGACTGAGTATATCTCCGCTGGGCAAAGGCAAGGCCAATGCCTGGACTGTCGAGCAGATGTGGTACATCATCACCAAGCTGGCAGAGAACGACAGTGTGCCTCTTGACGAAGTGCTGTTCTCGCCCTTGTTTGGCGGTGACATGCAGCCTATCCGCGCGATGGTTGAGCAGCGGATGCTGACTGTGGAGGGTCCGCATGACAGCCACAACAAGTACTTGGTCAAGCCTATACGGCCTGTACTAGGGGCCGCGTGTAAGGAGCTGGTTAAGGACGAGCGCCTGAGCAAGGCGATGACAGGGAAGATGTATGCCACTCAGATAAACAAGGTTAACACGACCATGCAGCAGCTGGAAGACGAGATGCAGAAGTTGCTGGCTCTGGGTGCGGGTGCGTGGACGGGCAACGGCACGGCTCTGAATGATCGGTTGAAGTATGTCACCGAGCAGATCAGTGCACAGTCCAAGAAGATGCGTGACTTGCAGGCGCGCAAGCCACTCTGAGGATATGCGGCAACAGGAACCACGTGAAAGAATTAGTGTATACGTACAGAAGGTTGGATTGGGAGTGCACGTATTGGGGGTTACTGTTGGGCTTTACTATCTGCGGTCGAGGTGATTGTATGCGTGTATGTCCTATGTCGATCTGTGAGTTGCAGAGCATGGCCTGAACTTGCACAGCTCAACATGGAAGCTTAGCGGAGCATGGTATATGCTTCTATCCCGAGCCTACTTTTTCGATTGTGTTCGAAAGCTGAGCACTCTTTGTACCCGTTGTGTCGATTATGTCGTCCAACAATAGGGCAGAAACATGCTATGACAATTACTGCTTGATACTGACTCAGGAAGTTGATGTAGAAGTTTACACAAACTTTAGCGGCCACTGTGTGAGTGTGGGGTGTTGGTTGTGGGTTGTTCAATGACGACGTGCGCTTGTCTGGCGATAAGAAGTACACCAAATGCGCTCTAACAAAGCCTCTGGTGTGTATGGTGTTCAGTCCTGTATAGACCCTGCTTCTGCATGGAAGCCTCTTTCTGCAAGCTCATCAGGGACTACTTGTTACACGGAGTGTAAAAGAATTACATATGTCATATCTAATATCTGAAGTGATTTCTGCAGCGGGAAGGCTACAATTTCTCGTGTGGGCTGCCATGATGGATGTGCAGTAGTAGACTTGTCTGCTCACTCCGGCAACGCTATCTCACTATGCGCAAGTCTACAGCTACCACGTGAATACAAATGCGTGAAGCTTAATAAAATTCGCATCGAATATATCAAATTCTGAAGATACTCGCATAACTGTCTTGCATGAATCTGTTGTCAATAGATTCACTTGGAAAGTATAGATGCAAAGAAGCGAAGTGGAGTTATTAGCATGACGACTTAGATTATAAATTACGTACGTATACCCCCGCGATGGCTTTGCTAGAGTTTTCATCTCTTGCCTTTATATGTTGATCTCATTATCTCGAAGGCGCATTTTCTAGTGTACCGAAATACATGAACTGTGTCAATGAGGATATTAATTGATACCTCCGAACTCTTCCATTCGAAACCCCCTCGCATGTTGTAAATCTGCATATTTAGCCTTTTGATTGGGGGTTCCGGCTGGACTGTAAGTTTAAGCACTGTATGCAGTTGTACTATCCACGGTTTTTATTACACAACGCATGCACACATGGTCAAGAGTGGGTTTCAGACTGAGGATGTCAACGCATGCTATCTCTAATTTACATGTCACACTAGCAATTGTTGAGAATAAGAAATAATCCAAGGTCGATGTATGCCCAAGAGTGGTGAATTGGTTTCACGGATCAAAGCAGTCCATTAACGCATCTATGTTGATATTGTTCGTATCTAGTGGCCTTTGTGCCATCGCATGTGTATCTTTTTTCTGTGATAAATTGTCGTCAGCTCAGCACAACCACCAGTTTTTGGATTAGGTATACATTAGGTTTTTAATTATTCGACTTTTATTTCTTCTATTGTTATATGTATGTAGCAATGTACAGTCGACATTACATACCCCTAATAATTAATTGGACGCTTCTATATCTTAAAAGCTTATTTTTCAAGACTTTTGTTATCTGATGACTCCTTGTTGAACGAACTACCCACATCCACCATTTCACCCTCTGCGATGATGCTCGGAGTTGTCTGTCGTTTTTGCAAGCACTCGACGATATCGCATTTATCCTTTTCACACTCTTTCAATACGTTGTCAGACAAGCACTGTTCGTATTTGCAACCACTCTCTTCACACAACTTTCGGAGCTTGTCTTCGTCGCTATTGAATTCCAATACACCAGCCAGCCATCTGGATATGTACACCAGTACCAACATAACTGGAATCTCAATCAGTGGCCCCATTACAGCTGCAAAAGCTTGCTGTAAGCTCGCACCGTACAGAGCGATGGCCAATGCTAGCGCCAGCTCGAAGTTGTTACCGGCCGCCGTGAAAGCAATGGCGGAGGTCTTGCCGTACGGCAAGTTCAACATCCAGCACAGCAAGAATGACCTAACAAACATGATCAGGAAATCCTGTATCAGGGGCACAGCGACCAGTAGCACGCTAACGATGTCATCTACCATTTGTGAGCCCGATATGGCAAAAAAGATGACAATGACAAAGAGAAGCGAGCACAGCGCAAGTGGTCCGATGGTATTGGCGAACTTCGTGTACTTATCTTTACCCAGAACTCTTTGCCCTATTACCCAGGTTCCAAATCCAAGCGCGAAAGGAATACCAAGGTAGATCGCGACACTCTCGAATACTAAAAGGAACGACTCTCCCATAGAACGATCAGCATTAGTGTCACTACTGATACCGATAGCCGGCAGAAAGATTTGGATAATCAACAGTTCGTACACGGAATATAGTAGAATTTGTAGTACACTATTTATCAGTACCAGGGTGACAACCAGGTCCATCTCTGCACCCGCCAACTCGCACCAAACTAGTACCATCGCAATACAACGGGCAATACCAATCAACACAAATCCTTGCAGCAGTTCTGGGTGGTTGTGCAGTACTGCCAAGCCCAAAAACGTCATCAACCATGGATCCACAAACCAGTTCAAACCGACTGACGTTAACACCGCCTTGGGCTGCTTATAGATCTGACCTACACGTCCGTAGTCGACTCGCATCACAGGTGGGTACATCATCACAATCAGGCCAATGGCCAAAAAGATGTTTGTGTCTCCACCTATTGTTGCACCCGATAAGAAGTCCGACACCCCCGCAATGTTTGATAACCCCTTGCCAAGACCTACTGCCAGCGCAATCCAAAGGGTCAACAACCGATCGACCCATCCCAATTTTTCATATTGAACAGCCATTTATATTTAAGAGACAACTCTTGGGTTTTTGTGATTTATATTATTTTGTATGTGTTCCATTGATACGCTGGAGTTTATTTAGCTCTAAGCACATCATACATTACCACTGGATTCACTGGCAAAAGGGAGTATATGTATGTGGTAGTCCGTAGTTGGTACATACTCTATATGTACCAAATATTAACTGAGTAACTCACAACTGACGCTTGACGGGTCGGGCAGTGCCGGGCCTGTCGGCATGCTCATCGGAGTCTTGGACATTGGCGCATTGCTCAATAATCAAATATTTTTATATAAAAAACAATTTCTGTGTATAATTTAGAATGTATGAATTCTGACTGACAGTGACTGGCAGGCGATCAGCTGTGGCTGGCCGCTACCCTCAGACCTCAGACCTCAGTCACAGTGCCCTCAGTTTACTCTAGAGGTGTACACTGTCCGGGTCTCCACTCTCTAGCACTCCAGTGACTCCAGAGTCCAGTCATGACTTTAATTCATCACTAATGACCAATCACTATTCAAAGTAATCATTAATCAGTTGTCGATACATATTATTCTCTGAGGAAAATCAGTTCGACCAATGGATATGAGTTAAAGTTTCGTTGAGAGCCAAATGAATTTACTTATGTACGATGAAGTCCAACAGTTTACTCTTGTAAAATATCTTGTGACGTATGATGCACATTATGAGAAACCGGGGTCTTCCGGACCCCTATGTTCCGGAGTATGGGACATCCCGAAAAAATTACTCAAATCGGGTTTCCTCAACGGATTTGAATATCTCATGCTCCTAAAAAAGATGAGCTGGTTCATTTTTTGACACGATCAATATTTCAAAAACCCTTTTTTTTTGATTTGGCCATACACCCAAAATCGACCTTTTTGAGGCTAACGAAGGTTTGCAATATCGTTAGAGCTTCAAACTCTTAGGATTTGGACTCCTTACCAGGAATTCATCCAGGACAGACAACCATTCTCAGAATATTCTGACGGTCAATATTCGAAGCAGAACTCTCAATTAAAGCTATATTCAGCTTGACTTTTTGACAATTTTGGAATTTGGCCAAGGTGGTGACCCAGATTTCTCGGGCACGAAATATAGTGATTTGGCCGAAATTTATTTATTGCAGTTTTGGATAGCTCTCCAAAAGCCAAATGCTTTGGGCCAAAATTTCCAAAAATTTATCGGTTGGTTCAAAAGTTATGGACGTTCAAGAACTGACCGGTAGACCCCGGGTTCTCATTGAGTGCGCCATATAAAGTATGTTACTGACTAGAGTGACAACAGAATCGGCGTCTCACTTACACAGAATTCAAATTGACTGGCCAGGGCCCTCGGGCCTGGGGCTCTGGGCCTGGGGTATACAACAAACACTCGAACAGTCTAAAACAGGTCTTCTTATATACGTGTATTTACTATTTTATAGCAAAAATCATTTTCAATTTGAATTTTGGTTTAAAATTTTCAGAAGGCTATGGAATTTAGGGTATATTTTATAATATAAAAAAAGGATTATGTGATTCAGCGATTGTATAGTTTGATTACGGAAGTTCGTTCTAATCGCTATATTCGTGGAGGGGTACGAGGTTCACGCGCTGAACACGCACAACATGTCTTCATCGCATCCCACATGTCCAGGTTTGCTTGCAGCGACTGGTTGTTTAGAACCTAAAATTTTCAGAAGGCTATGGAATTTAGGGTATATTTTATAATATAAAAAAAGGATTATGTGATTCAGCGATTGTATAGTTTGATTACGGAAGTTTGTTCTAATCGCTATATTCGTAGAGGGGCACGAGGTTCACGCGCTGAGCACACACAGCAAGTTTTCATCGCATACCCACATGTCCAGGTTTGCTTGCAGCGACTGGTCTGTTAGAACTTCTCTATAGGTCCCTATGCGAGCCCTGTCAATCAATTAAACCCCCACACAGAGATCTACCTCTCTCTACGATCATGTCCTCGTGCAGTTGTTGGCGTGCGCGGTGCTTGAGGTAATATACCTAATAACAACTTACAGCAAACAGGACAACGTACTTTTGTTTATATAAGATTACGCATTTATATCAAATGGTTGGGGTCATAACCCCCCGCAAGGGCGAATATTTTTATGCCATTGGTCAAGTTAGTTTAATAGCTGGAGAGATCGATTGTGAACCTATTGCTTGTAAGCTCACAAGTAATCTACACATATGGCTTATAAACCCGTGTTGCGTGGAGTGCTTCACATGAGACTAGCATCATGCGGTGAGCATTGTTTGCACTAGTTTGATAGCATATGTCACTGTATTTACTACTACATATTCCGTTGTGAGTGTTGTGCACTGATTCAGCGCCGTGATGTGTGTATTCAGGTATGCTAGAATATATTGCTGCTTATTTCTTTGCTTGTTGTAGGCTACGTTGGTACCATTATATGTCTGCCATTCCGTCAGGATATTACAAGGTCCTTTGAAATATGCGTCCCCCTATGCACCGCCTGTTTCCCCTTGCTATCCTTAGCACTAGCCTTGCTCTCAGGCTCTTTCTTGGCAGCCTTCATCCGCTCTGTTTTCTTCTGCTTGCGGTTTTTGATAACCTCTCCGTATGAGTTCTGTGGCGTTTTCAATAAATAACAATTTGTGGGTTAGAGCAAAGTTAGAGTGAATACCATGCAAATACCGCAGGAGACCGTATCGCACTGGTTAACGTCTTGAGACCTGCCACCTTGCCGCGCACATGTATTTGGTAGCTGTATAGACAAATCTTACAGTCAGACTACGTGAAAGTCTGCAATCAGCATGAACACTGAGCAAGAGTTCCGGTGCGTGTGAGGAACCATACTGACGGATGGATGTGCGGTCATGCATGTGTATGGGTCGATATAAACGGTCGCACTACCAATAGAGGGATAAAATGTGCACTCTATGCTCATCTACCCCTCTCGGGTTACCAAAAGATCGCTACACGACTGTGTGGATGTATCATATACGTAGTAGATATCAAGCTCACGAAAAAAAGAGGTCTAACTGATAATAGAAAACATCAGTATATATGTGTGCATGAACAGAATCGTAATATATCGTAGCTATGAACCCAACGACATACAAACAGCAACCTTCAGTAAGCGTGGGCGTGCACTCACCTTCCACTGGCTAGCACTCTTGTTCAGCACCAGACTGCACCGCATGGTACCCCTCTTGTTGCTGTATTTTAGAATCTGACAATATGCAGAAAATAGAAGGTTTTGTGCATTATAAACTAAGTATATTTCAGTGATGAAAGAAGTTTATTTCGCAGTTTTAAAAAGTATTAAAACTTCATCGCACATGACGAAACAAGAAGTATCACGAATATTCAACTATAGCTAGATGTAAGCGTATGAATCGTCCACAAGCAAACAAACTTCAAAGACGGTTCAAAGAATTTTTTTTGCCGTTACCACCTTTGTACATCTGATATCAGACAGTATCGGCAATCGTTCAGAATAGAGGCGTGCAATAGTTATATAACTACCTCTAAAGGCAGTATACATACATACATATACATATATATACGGTATACACACACACACACACACACTCACACACACACACACACAC